TCTGTTGGCCGGGCTAGAGTGCCGTGGCATTAGCCTAGCTCACAGCAACCTCCAACTCCTGGGCTCAAGCGATCCTCCTGCCTCAGCCTCCTGAGTGGCTGGGACTACAGGCGCGTGCCATCATGCCCAGCTAATTTCTTCTATTTTTAGGAGAGACAGGGTCTCACTTTTGCTCAGGTTGGTCTTAAACTCCTGAGCTCAAGTGATCCTCCTGCCTCGGCCTCCCAGACTGCTAGGATTACAGGCGTGAGCCACCTGTTGTGAAGATTAAGTAAGATGTGTCTGGCAGAGCATAAGTGCTGAGGAAATGCATTTATTTCTATTTTTTATTTTGGTATCATTAGCTGCTTCAGTCTAAGAGGGGGTGGTTTCTAGAAACTCCTTTCAAAAAACTTTCTAAATTTGATCACTTTCATCTCCCTTTTTATTACCACCCTGGTCTGAGCCACTGTCATCTCTTGACAATCTATGGAAATAGCTTTCTAAAGATCTCCCTGGTCCACACTTGTCTCTCTACAGTTTTTTCGAAACATCCTTTAAAAAGGTCAGCTGACTTCCTATCTCTCTGCTGCTGTAGGCCCTCGACTGCTTTTCATTGTGTTGAGAACAGGGTCGGAAGTCCTCACCATGACTCCTCCTCCTGCCCACACATATCCCACTGTCCGCGCCCACTCCCTTCCAGCCACCCCCACGTCCTTGCCGTCCTCTACCATATTGCCATCTCAAGGCCTTTGCACTTGGCTGCTCCTTATGTTTGTAATTTTCTTGGCCCAGATATCATTTTTTTTTAATTTTTGAATTTTTTCACATTTTTTTTTTTTTTACCAAAACAATGTCCAATGATGCAGAAGAGATGAAAATGGTTATTCGTTTCGATTTACAATGGCCCACTATAACTTTATTCCATAGGTATAACTGCTCATATCATTGTGAAATGATAGCAGCAAATGAATGGGAAGTTTTTTGTGTTTTATTTAACAGACAGGGTCTTACTCTGTCTCCCAGGCTGGAGAGCAGTAGCATGGTCCTTGCTCACTGCAGCCTGGAACTCCTGGGCTCAAGCAATCACCTGGGACTGCAGGTGTGAGCTGCTGCACCTGGCCTGACTTGGCCCAGGTAGTTCTAACGCTTGCTCTCTCCTCTCATTCAGGTCTCTCGTCAAGGTCACCTTCTCAGATTACCCTGTCACACACAAGTAAGCAGCCCACCTCTTTCTCTGTCCTCTTATCCACCTGTCCCTTTCTTCACAGCACTCCTCCCTCCTAGATTATTGATGTTTATCAGTATAAACCAGAATATAATTCCATGAAGGAGGGGCTTTTTCTGCTGTATTCACTGCTGTATTCACTGAGCCTACAAAATCGCCTGTTGCATAGAAAGCAATCAGTAACTAGGAATCTTTGAATTGTTTGTTAGATGCTAAGCTTTTTGAAGGTAGTACATTATCTTTTTATCTTTGTGTCCCCATCACCTACCACTGTTCCCAACACTTAGAAGATGCTTGATGATTTCTTTAAAAAAGTGCTGTATGCATTAACAAAGAGGGAACTCTGATGGAGAGAGGGCAGAATTGCATAGGGGTAGTGCGGGTAGAGAGAAAACAGCGAGTCATTTGCATTGGCGAGTAGGAAATTCTTTTTAGTTGAAACATAGTTGATATAACTGTATGGTGCCTCCCACTCTAGAATAGTCATCACTAAGTGAAGCTGCCATAAATTTAGCCCTAATAATTGAAAGTATGTAATAAGCTGTAATATAACTTTTTACTACCATACTTATTTCCTTTAAATAATGTATTTCAATATGGTAAAGATAAAGGAAATAATGGTCTCTCTTTACTGGAGCATTACATTTTTTTGGGTTCTGAGTCCTGGTCAATCTTCCAAGCAATGAGCTTAAAATTTTAGAACAATCTAATAAACCTCACACTGGAGACAAAGATAATGTTGCATCTTGTCAGCATCTAAGCCCCTCCAATAAACCATCGCTCCAGGCTTTGGAGTTATTGGATCTCCTGTATCCAATGCTTCTTTAAATAACATTTGACCAAGCTTGGGAAAGTCTTATATTATCAGGCACATTTTCTTTGTATTGTTTTCATTACTTTGAGCATCAGTTGATTATGCACTGGCTTAACTTCATAACTTAGTTTGGAGAAGGATGTTACACAGACTACTTGGAATTTTCCACAGTCAGCTTAACCTGCAGATATGGAAATACAGGAAATGAGCACAAAAACTGATTTTGTAGGTGCAACCTACCCTGAAACAACTGTGTCCACTTAACAGCCTCAACAGCTTCTAAACTACAGGCAAATCAACAACTTGCTCTCCTTATCCCATTGCAGGTTCCAGGAAGTGCCTCATTAACAAGGAGGCAAGTGAGGTGGTAGGTGGGGCTGAGGTGGGGTTGGGCCAGGGCCAACCACATTGCTGAAACCACGTGAGGCAGAATGATCCGGGAGCTGCATAGAGAGACTGCTTCTGCCAGGTTGGGAAGCAACTGGTTTCACCTGTCACTTATTCTCTAGTGTCCTGAATCAGGCACCCAGGCACAGTTATGCCAGCAAAATACTACTACCTCTCCCTGTGTGATGGACTCATTTAATCTGAGCTAAAAAAATGAAAATAAAAAGAGGCTACCCACAGGGTCTCTCGGTTACCCCCTGAGTGTTATGCTCATCTGAATTCCCACATCAGCAGAAGAAGTGACTCAATATTTACTTATGATGTAATATGTAAGATCGGAGACTGAAAGACTTATAAGAACATTTTTCATTGAGGGGTAAGAGCCCTTTCTTTTATTAACCAAAATGGGTGACCACTACTATACTTAAAAGTTTGTACACGTATCTACATTTTCATTTGCTGCTTGGAAAGTTTTCATGAAATATTCTTGAGCAAAATTTCAGCTAACGTAATACTCTTTTGTCATGTAGTGGAAATAAATCACAAACTCTGACAATTCTTACCTGATAGATTCGGGAATTTGTGATTCAGGTTGTATCTAACAAATGTTTTGTTGATGAATGAATAAATGTTATCATTATTTGAGGAGCCAAACCAAAAGTGTTGAAAAGATGGTTGTTCAATCAAACAACTGGTTACGAATTCAGTGTATTAATATTTCCCCCAGTTTTTGTTGTAGTGACACTGCCTATCTTTTAGTGCAAAGATGTAGGAAAGTGGGCCCATTGGTACTTATGCCTGGTACATAGTTAATGCTCTATAAGTGATATCTATTAGGTCATTTTATTTTTGCCTGTACTGATAGCCATTCATTCAACAAATACACATGGAATGGCTATTTGCAAAGTGCTTTTCGTTCCACCTGTATGGTTTTAGGTGTACGGATAAACAAGAATAAAATACCACCCTGAAATTCTGAGTTTTCAGATCGCATGCTTGTTGTCCTGTGGACCGTACATCTGGGCCTTTGACATAGTCTCAATTTGCCATCAATAGACAGGGTCCCCGAGTCTGGTCGTCTTCTTCATCTCCTGTTAGAGTACTCTCATGCCCCCAACTGCCCATCTTCCTAAATGTCTTCCTCATTCTTCCATTTCCTTCCCTTTCTCCACAAACAAGCAGACTTACTTCTTCCCGGTACATCTCCTCTGCCTGAGCTTCTGTCCCTGGTAGGTGGCTGTCAGAGGTTCCAGAATTACTCTTGGGACCTGTGCAACAAGTGCCTTAGGATGCGTCACCTGGTGGCTGCCTTTTTATGACCTGAAGGCAAGAGAGGAAGGCTTGATTTCCTTGTCAGAGTTAATTGACTGGCAAAAGTGCTGCCTGAGGTTAAGAGCTGTCTCTGCTTTCTTCCCAGTACTGGTTCCCACCCTCTTCTCCATGCCATTCAGCAGTGTGCTCAGAAGGACATGGTGCATCTCGAGTAGCCGTCTCCACCTCAACCCTCCTTTAGTGTGCAAAATGGTTTTAGTGGGAAAAGTGGTAATGTTAAATCTAAACCCTTCAGGTTCTTATAGGTACAAGCAACACCAAGAGGGAGATAATTGGGAATAAAGACATTTGTTGTAAGGGGGGCTATTAACAACCTCTTTATACTCTTTAAATATTAAGTGTTCACAAAACTTTAAAATTCTTGCTTTCTGCAAACACAGGCTTCGTGTAAAGTTCTTCAGAGACTTTGAAATGCATCTTTTTCAATGTGATCAGTTTTTCGATACTTAAATTTCAGAGCTGTTTTGAAACGTGGAAGCACTCAAAACGGGTACCGGTTGTTTCATGTTGCGAGCTCTTTTGTCTTTAGTTATAAAACTGGGAAAGTTGCTATATGAGCAGCCTGAAAATGTAAACATTTAAAACTTGGCACTAATAGAAAATAGAACATGCCAAACAACATTTTTCAACTCACTTAATATTGATAGCCTTCACCTGAAAACTGTTTTATAGAAACTCTTTTTCATTAAAATAATTGATCACAATTAACATACCCTCGATACCCTATTGTTTCAAAGTACTAATAGAGATCAATAATATTGCTCACCTTTTTATCATTTTATTTTCAGCACTATAACATCATGGGCATAAATCTAGTTATCAAAAAATTAAAGTGATGCGTTTATGTGTTTTTCATATCTCAATAGTAGAATTCTCAAATGTGATTTTAGATCAGTTACTTTTTTTTTTCCAAAATAGTCACAATCAATTTTTCACTGAGAATGGGTTTGATCATTTGAGAAACAACAACACCATTCATTTTAAACATTTCCTAGCTTTTCACTATGGAAAAAAATTAAATGTAATCTCTCATGGTAGAAAAATTAATCTTAGATTTTTCAGAGCCAAAATGAAAATACTTCAGAAAAAAATCAAGCCAAATCTTTGGAATTCAAAGGGGCCGAACACCCAGATGAAACTAATTGCCATCAGTTTTAAAACTGGGAACTATAAACAGGCCAATATAAAACTTGCCAATTATATGCCTGCTCAGAGGTCTGAACTGAATTCAGTAATTTGAACATTTCTTCTTTTTCCCAGTGATACAGGAACAACACCTCCAGAGAGTGGTATTTTTGGATTTATGATAAACTTCTCTGCATTTCTTGGTAAGTACACAATAATTATTATCAAGAAATGAAAAATTCATAATCCTAAGTGAAGTCAAATGTGTTATTGACAGCATGTGTATGTATAATCGAAGTGAACATCCTTTTAAATATATTTTGCATATTTATGTGAATTTTTCTATAAGATAAATTTGCTAAGTTAAAGGAATATGTATCTAAAATTATGATAGCTATCCATTCATTCAACATTCATTTACTAAGTACCTACTGTGTGGTGGGCTTTGTGCTTAGTGTTTGGGTCACAACAGCAAACAAGACAGGCAAGGCCCCTGCTCCCATGTGGATTACATTTTACTGACAAATTACTCTCCTAAACAATAAATGGTATTAAGTACTTTGTTAATAGACTAGCTATTTGGAAAAACATGTCTTTAGTATTCTCACACCATACACAAAAACCAATTGCAATTAAAGAACTAAATCTGAAAGGCAAAACTATAAGAGAATTAAATTATAAGAGAATATTTTAAATCTTAGAATAGAAAGCTTACAAAAAACCTAGAGGCTAATTAGGAAAGAATCGACAGATTTGAGTAGATAAAAAAATTAAAACTTCTAAATGACAGAAGATACAAGAAGCAAAGTTAAAAGACAAACAGCATACTAGAAGAAAATTTGCATTATTTATAGCAGACAATAGACTAATAAATATAATGTGTAAAAAGCAACTACACATCAGAAATGAATAGACAAACCCAAGAGAAAAATAAGAAAAAAATTATAAACATGCAATTCTCAGAAAAAATGCAAATGACCAGAAGACATACTGAAAATTGCTAAATATCACTAATGATCAGGGAAATGCAAATTCTTTGGGTAGACAATAATTAAAAGGGCGAAGGCATACAGAATTGCTCTCCATCTCTGCTGGTAGGAATATAAATTGTTAACAGTCTTGCAGCCATTTGGAGGTGTTTCTCAACATTTTAATTGTGCATGGTTTTTGACCCAGTAACTTCCAGGAATTGGTCTTTCAGAAACACCTGAGAGTGTGCCCAAAGAATTATATACAAGGGTGTTCATTGAGCATTGTTTGTGATAGGAAGCAACATAGAAATTTATCCTTAGGAGAATGATGAAATAAATGTAGTATCTTCTACCACAGGCCATGATGAGACCCCTAAAAACAATGCGGTAGATCTATTTGTACTGACATGGAAAGATCTCCATGGTACATTGTTAAGTGAAAAAAGCAAGTCACAGAATAATACATGTACTATAATAGCATTTACGTGAAAAGGATAACCACTAAGCTGGGGAGGGTATGTGTGTGTGTGTCCATCACACTGTGGAGAGAGTAAGATGGGGTCAAGAAGGACAGGGAGATTTGCAATCAGGACATTTTTCAAAAGTGATGCAAAACTTCTCCTGTGTTTGTCATTCTAAAAAAAAACCCAAATAATGAAAATTCATCAACATTCCTTTCTTTTTCAGGTGCAGCCACGATGTACACAAGATATAAAATAGTAGAGAAGCAAAATCAAACCTGCTATTTCAGCACTCCTGTTTTTAACTTGGTGTCGTTAGTTCTTGGATTGGTGGGATGTATCGGAATGGGCATTGTTGCCAATTTTCAGGTATGACCTGAAGCTTCCTTGGTTGTTGGGGGCTGTGGGGCACGAGTATCTGAGAAGAGAAGCAGGAACGCAAGAGGTGCACTTGCACCAGTATAGCTAACTGGTTGATGAGCTTACAAAAATTGGGTTAGTTTGCTTTTTAGAAACAAATGTCTAACGTTCGAAAGTCAGTCCTACCTCGTACTTGGGAGAGATGGGGGTGCCTGTTTGCGTGATTAGGAGAGAGTGTGTGCTTCAAATTCTGCGCCCGGCTCTGCACTGCTCCATGTTCTGACTGTGTGATTTGGTGTGTTGGGAGAGCTACTTCTGCCGCTGTAATGATTTCGCTCAGTGTGAAAATATGTATGTGTGTTTACCGATTCTACCATTTGAACATCTGGTGTTCAAAGAGCAGCATCTGATTGCTTCCTTTTGCAGGTAAAGGTATAGGTTTATGGAGATGAAATAATTTGCTCGGGGTTATTCAGCTAATAAGTTGCAGTGCCAAAACGTGGCCCCACTAGAGCAAATTAACTTACGTGACGACCACTGGGGAATCTGCTTGATATATTCTTACTGTGTCAAGTGTTGGAAAAAAATTAATCCTTATTCTAATTTATGGATTCCTATTTTATTCCAAGTTCTCTTTCAGGAGACAATATTTAATATTTTAAAAATATTTATTGAATTTAAAATGAATACTAAGTATAATAATGCCCACCTCATAGGATTTTTGCAAGGATTCAATGAGATAATGTGCAGTCATCAGCAGACTGTACTTGGCAGCTATCACGGTCATTATCGGTTCATCGTTACAGGCTAACACTACGATGGTCCTGCTCCATCACACTTGTCTCTGTGAAAGCAGAGTGGAAGTTACTCCAGGAGGACTTCTGGGTTGGCCCAGGGGTACTTCTTTAAATTTCTGCCCTCCAGAGGTAGATCTCATGTGATGCTTATTTTAACAAAAAGACAGCAGCCTTCACTACTCTAGGGCTGCTCAAGTTCATGTCCATGCACTGAATAACCTCAGGCCTCTGCCCATACCATATGCTTTCCATCCATTCTCTAATGTCTCTCTTCTGTGAAGTTGGACCATCGTCAGAGAGCCCTCTGTCTGTCCTACACCTCTGTCTGACTTCATAGCATTGCCTTCCCTGCACCGCTCCTGGGGGGTGCCATCTGTCGATGAGGTGTGGGGGCCATTGTAATTAAGTGACTCAAGAAACTCAGGGCTGTGTTTACCAAGGACTAAGGGGGAAGTGTCCTATCGTACATTACACAATACCTTCAGGATGACCCACAAGCCAGGAATAGTCTCTCAGGTCTCAGAGCCAACCAGTTTTAGTTCTTGGATGTTATAAATCCTATGATTATCAGTGTTTCCTTGTTAACATTGGAAGCTGGAAAGGTGAGTGCCAAATTTGTAGCCCTCCTGGAGCAAATGTATAGGGCTTTGTGGGGGGCATTTTTTTGGTCAACCTTCCCCTTTATTTATTATTATTACTTGTTTTAGAGACAAGGTCTCACTCTGTCACCCAGGCTAGAGTGCAGTGGTGCGATCACAGCTCACCTGTAATCTCGAAATCCTGGCCTTAAGCGATCCTCCCGCCTCATCCCAACTTTCCCCCTTAAAGTCATGTGGAGGAAATTCTGTGATCTAAGTTTGCTTCTGGCTCCATTTTACTTTTCTATCCTTATTGTCGTTATGTGATGAAATAATACAAACATAGAGAACTGCAGTACATGTTGCCATGTGACATTTGTCACATAGGAGAAGCTCTCAAGACATTTCCTTATGTTTTATGATAGTATGCATTTTGTTTTTAGTATGCATTTTGTTTTTAAGAACTACAAACATAGGCCGGGCGCAGTGGCTCACGCCTGTAATCCTCGCTCTCTGGGAGGCCGAGGTGGGCGGATTGTTGAGTTCGAAACTAGCCTGAGCAAGAGCAAGACCCCGTCTCTACTAAAAATAGAAAGAAATTAATTGGACAACTAAAAATTAGCCGGGCGTGGTGGCACATGCCTGTAGTCCCAGCTACTTGGGAGGCTGAGGCAGGAGGATCGCTTCAGCCCAGGAGTTTGAGGTTGCCGTGAGCTAGGATGACGCCACGGCACTCTAGCCTGGGCAACACAGTGAGACCCTGTCTCAAAAAAAAAAAAAAAAAAACTACAAACATGTATTGATGTTTTTCTATGTAATAGACATGTTTATGAAAATGTGCCCTGTTTTAACTCATCAATTCTAACAAAAGCCTTGTAAGATAGGCACTATTGTTTTCTCCACGCATCAGTGGTGAGATGGAGACTCAGAGAGGACAATACTTGCCCAAGACCATATGAGTAATGAGGGGCAGCGGTGGGCTTCAACTTGAGGTCCTGTTCTCAGAGCCAGTGGGAAGATTTATCCTCAATGCCAAAAATGAGGAAATACCCAGGACAAAAAAGCAAGTATACAACTCACAGTTCTACCGTGAGAAAGCACGATGGAAAAAACCCAAAAGGGGAGATCTAGAATGATGTAATTTGTCTAGTGCAGTGTGGATATGGATTGTTCCGGGGGGGCATTGTATGCACTGTATCAACCACTTTATCCTCTGAATAACTCAACAGCGTAAGAGATACAGAGATACAGATATCATCTTTTAAACCATAACCCTCTTTTAAACCATAAGGCAGACCTTAACTTTAGGAAGATAACTTACATGTTTAGATAATTGAACTTTTGGTTCCCTTTAAGTTTTCAATGAAGTGATCAAATCTGTACAAAAACCAGAAATAGAAATCTTCAATAGAATCTTTAACTTTCCAGCAGAAAAGTACTTGACTTGTCACCGTTCTGATAAATATATCTTTACAGCTTCCTTGTTTGATATCCTGTGATTCTTTTTCAGCATGCTAGGAGCAAACCAACTTGAGCTGTTCCTTGAGAGTTTGAGATGTGAGGGCAAGAGAGAGTGTGACTGCCTTTGGTGATTTTTCTTGAGTAGCAATAAATTACATTTATGGAAAGTTCACAGATAACTACCTCTCTTTCCCAAACGGGTGGGTGGGATGACTACTTTTTGGTGTGTCCTCACTGATTGCTGTCAATGCTTTATTGTCCCTGGAGAAGTTTCCTTTTTGAAATCCTGCCACTTGGGACAACATGGATGAACCCAGAGGACATTACGTTAAGTGAAATAAGCCAGTCGCAGAAAGACACATACTGCACGGTCTCACTTATATGTGGAATCTAAAAAAGTCAAACTCACAGAAGGAGTAGAATGGTGATTACCAGGTTAGGGAGGATGGGGAGTGGGGAGATGTTGGTCAGAGGGTACAGAGTTCTCGTTAGGAGGAATAAATTCTGAAGCTCTATTGTGCAACATGGTGTCTATAGTTAATAGTAACATTGTGTATTTCAAAATTGCTAAAACAGTAGATTGTAAATGTTCTTACTACAAAAAAATGATAAGTGTGTGAGGTGATGGATATGTTAATTGCCTTGATTTAGTCATTCCACAATGTAAACACATATCAAAACATACACAAGCCCCATACATGTATACAATTATTATTTGTCAATTAAAAATAAAATTAAAAAAAGAAGTTTCCTTTGTGGAAAAGAAAATTTGCAAGGTTTCACCCTATCAGTATTCTAGTATTCTCTGTCTTTTTACTACCTTTTGAAATGATAAGAGAGTTTCTAAAAAGGGGTCCACAAAGGGTGCCAGGTTTTCATCTTATCCTCTATCAAACTTCATGTCCGATCTAAGAATCATTTCCCTTCTAAAAAACATCTTTGATGAGAGAGTATATACCCTATGGTGAAAAAGCCACATTACAAATAAAACTCCCACTGAATCAAGGGCCTTTTGATCTGATAGTATCAGGGTTATTGTGGGGACTCCTGAAGTTTGCAGATTAAAACAATAAAAGATATGTTGAATTGGCCAGGGTTGAGGAAGCGTATTCCCTGATGGTATTTGTGGGCAAAAACAAGGTATGTAAATTCAAGATGTTGATGTACTTAGTGCCAAACGACAAGAGATGGTGGAAAGTCCCGGAATTCTCAGTTTATTCTTGAAACTGATTCATTAGCAGTAGATGCCTGGCCTTTTGTTTATTTTTCCCTTGTCCAAACGTGCCTGACATTTAAGGAGTGAAAGGACTTTATTTCTCTTAATTCTTTTTAAAAAATTCTTTTTAATTGTGCTGAAATATGCATAATAAAATTTACTATCTTACCCATTTTTAAGTGTACAGTTTAGTGGTTATTTTCCTGAATTATGTAAGTACTTAAAGGTGTACACACATTTTAAATAGCGCTTTATTTTCGCATATAACTTTCCTGACTCTCTGTGTCCGTGCTAGGTATCCGAGGTATACAGAATCTATACCTAATAAATGAATAATTTATACAACATATTGCAGAATGTCAATGCAGTCATATTTGGATATAGTACAAACCACGGAATGAATTTCTCCCCATATTCCCAGGTTTGGTTTGTCCAGGAAATAAATTTCCTTAGAAAATAAGTTAAAAGCTTTTTTGTTTTTTAAACGTCTCCCTTTCTCAAGTGGAGAATGATGATTTAAGATCAGTTTATGTGTGCTCCAGCTTGCGGTTGAACGGTCTGGATGGAAAGTTTGAGGTGCTGGGGAAGCCCCGGTGGCCCAGGTCAAAGAGCAGCCAGAGGACGGGTGTGCACAGCGAGGGGGGCCAGCGGGGGCCTGTGGCCCAAACCAGGCTCTCGTGGACAGCACTTGAACTTGCCTCTTTGCAAAGCTCGAAGTTTTCAGGTTCAAGCTGAGACTCAGTGGTTCCATCTAAATGTCGTTGTTATACTGGAAGGAGGTGCCCAGTGCTTATTTGAAAGGAGCCTAAGGTGAGGCTCCTTGACCGGTCATGACCTGGGTGTAGACACAGTCGGCACCAGATTTTCTGCCTGGACCGGGCATAGGGGCTGCCTTCTGGTCAAAATGGCTGGTTAGAGGATGGTGGAGGATTGAGAACTTGTTTTGAAACTGTCTTTGCATCGCGAGAGCAGTGGTTTTACTTAGTTGGTGTGTTTGTTCGGGGTGGCTTGGGAGGGACTAATGGAGATTGTCAGGGAGCAGGGACCCTAAAAACCCCAAGCCACCTTGCTACCATTACGGAACTAGCTGTGTACTTTTATACGAACTTATTATATGAAATGTATCATATAATCCTCACTGCGACCCTGCAAGAAAGGGACGATTATGCCTATTTTACAGATAGAGAAATCGAGGCTTTCCAGCAAGGTCACAGAGCCTAGTGGTGGCCAAGTGTGCCAGACTCCAAAGCCCACCATGCTCAACTCTCTCACCTCCAAGGCAGATGTCATTTTTTTCCTTGTCCCATGATCCCAAGTTCGCTGTGGAACCACCAAGTTCTTGGCATTTATTTCAGCATGAGGAAGGTTTTTCTCTTGGCAGCCTTCTGTAAGCAGCCGCATTTTCCAAGGAGCGGTGCGTCTGTGATGACCTGGCTCAGAGCAGCCCAGAGCGAGTGAGTGCTCGTGGCTTGATGTCGACAGACTCACGCGGAGTAACACATTTGTGATTTTTCTCCCCAGGAGTTAGCTGTGCCAGTGGTCCACGATGGGGGCGCCCTTTTGGCTTTCGTCTGCGGCGTCGTGTACACGCTCCTACAATCCATCATCTCTTACAAATCGTGTCCCCAGTGGAACAGTCTCTTGACGTGCCACATACGGATGGCCATCTCTGCTGTTTCCTGCGCGGCTGTCGTCCCCAGTATCCTTTTTCACGTTTGTCTCTTGTTAAAGGAAAAAATATATTCCATGACACTTGTTAAAGCATGGTAAGGAAAACATTATTGAGGACCACCGCGGTGGGTTATAGGGACCACTGCCGTGGGTCTTGCAGTGGGGGAGAGAGACTGGGCTCAGCTCCGGAATGCATCATCGGCAAGTGGGAATTTATAGCCAGGGAGCAGGACGCGGGCAGTGAATGGAAAAGTACTACAAGGAAACAGAGGTAACGGGGACTCTGGAATTCTCCCTGAAGACAGGCCAGGGAGACCAGACACCACCTGGGGGACAGTGGAAGAAAAGGTATCTGATCAGACATCGAGGGTGAGAGGTTCTTGCTAAACTGACATAAACTGGAATTTACACAGTGCACAGATGGTTGCAGGAGAAGCTTCAGGAAGCTGACTAAATTTTGGCCAAGCAAAGACTCTTTGTCACAAGGTCCTAGCAAGCTTGACTCTCCACCCCCCCCACCCATAAGAAGGGCATGAAGAAAGCAAAGGATAACAACCAAGTTTCCACATTCTCCAGAAGAACAATTGGAATAAAAGTGTAAATCATTAAGAAAAGATCTCAACATTGGTTAGATCAAAAGAATCTTTGGGGAAAAGAATGTGGGGTGAAAGGAGGGTGGAAAATGTAGGAACACTTCAGTCTCTATTTTCCTTCCCACAGGGCTGGTTTCATGAGCCGTGTGAAAATATTTATTTTTCTTTGTAGTACTTGGCTAAAGACACCAAATATTGATATTGTACTTAAAGTCATAGCCCTGTGAAGTC